ATTTTCACACTTAGCAACCATTTTCACACTTAGTGATCATTGCAGCATCCCCATGGTCACGTAATCAAAATTTTGATGTTTGGCAAGAGTTACAATTTATATTTGTAAATTGTAGTTATGTTGAAATAAAAAAAAATTACAATACTATTTTTGCGTTGTATGAAAATTTTTGTTGCTCCATATAAATTTTTTAATCAAGCCCCTCACCCCAGTCAAAGGTGTCCCTCTTTACCAATCTGAAAATCTGGTCACCTTACTCTAGTAGTCAGGGATGGATAATTAATTAATTATTTTTCCTAATCAATCAGAGTTCATGAAAATTGGAAAATTTCAACCACCCATAACAAAACAGTACAGGGCTACAGATTATTTAAAAGTAGTAAATCAAGACCACAACTTTTATTCAGAGGATGGTAGAGGACAGGAAGGCCTGGAGGAACATTGTCCATGGGGTCACAATGGGTCTCAACTAACACAACAACAACATGGTTCTAGCCCTGCCACCCAGCTTCAGCTTCTAAAACTGCTTGCAGACTGTTGTTGTTACCAGAGGATCTTAAGGGATGATTCTGAGACTCCTTAATTCTGGAGAGTCAAATAAACAAAGGAATAAGCCTGTTCCTTCTATTGTTGAGATGGAAAATGACAGTCCAGAGAGAGGACCTTCTCTGAGTGTGCCATTAGCTAGCCATGTCTTCACCAGAAATCAAGTTTTAGCAAAATTTACATTTTCAAAGGGTTGCTTAGATACATGGAAATTTTGAACTTATTAGACCTAAATATTCTGACTTTGAAAAAAAAAACCTGCCTATCTACTCAGACATAACCCTAACAGATCTTAGGTCTTTGGTTAGGACTTGAACTGTTAAGAAGTTACCAATCCCAGACTGTGAATCAAATTGAAGATTAGCCATAATAATAACATCTGAAGGGCAGTGAAGAAGATGCACTGAAGACAAATCCCTAAGAACAAATGCATACATAGCCAGAATTGAGAAGACAGAGACGGGAAATGTTGTTTCTGCAAAGAAACTGGAAAAACAGTAGCCTATCTGGTTAGTTGCTGCCAGAAGGTCTCCCAGACAAACTACAAGCAATGGCATGACAAAGTAGCAACAATAGCGCACTGGAAGGCCTGCAAGAAATATCATTTACCTACCTGCATTTTGGTGAGACCATAAAATAGGGAAAGTCATAGAAAAGGAAGAACTAAATTGATCTGGGATTTTAGAATTCAAACAGACAGAGCACCAGCCACAAACACCTCTGACTTAACAATTGTTGATAAGAAAGACAAAAAAGTCTGTATAATAGATATGACAGTACCTGGAGACAGCAGAAGAGAAGAGAAAGCACTGGAGAAGATGACAAAATACAAATAGAAATAGAATGACTGTGGAAAAAGCAGGCAAAAGTAGGCAATTGAGTGCAATTCCAAAACAACTGGAGCACCACTTGAACACCATTGGCATTGAGAAATTCACCATCAGTGAATTGAAAAAAATGGCTTCACTAAGAACAGCTTCCATCCTGCGAAAATATCTGTAACACCATCAAACATCCACATCTGCCTATCCCAGGTCCTTGGAAACGACTTGCTACATAGACAAAAATGCCAAATCCAATCTGGACATCTGGCTGACTATGCAATGAATCAATGATATAATGGAAACATTTAAAAAGGACAACTTATACAAAAATGGCACCAAGACATGCCCACATACATGCATACATTCCATCTTGAATACATAGTAGGAAAAAAAATGTTGAGTGTTTTCATTGTTGGTACTATATGAACAAGTTGTTCTTGTTTCGCCAGTCCACCAAACGCTCTACCTAACCCTTCAAACTGACAGCGGGGACCATAACTGAATTACAGCTACAAAGCTGGGGACTTGAACTAAGTTATTGTGCTGGAGTAGTATCTGGAGAGAAGTGTTGAAACCAGGTGATTGAACTCACAGAAAAAAAATAAAAAGCTGACCTTAATCTTAAAAAGGATCCCGAAGCAGAATTAGCGGCTAACTGGCTTTCAAGGAATGTTATTGAAAAAAAGTGGCAGAGGAGGCTAAGCACCAAAACCTCAGAGGATTTTGTCTTCTGTAATTTGGAAGTGAAGAAAAAAAAGGAAGAGTCCAGGAGGAAGTCTCCATTCTCCTTATCCTATTCTATTCTTTGTGGATTAAAAGTGTTTTTGATCGATCCAACAGAAATTCTTCAAGCCGGCGACAAAAAGTTGAGCCCCAGGCTGATGAAGTTGGGACGGCTCCGGAACGGAAGGGAAGCGGAAAAAGAAAGTGTGTCCATCTGGTGAGGAAACTTTATTGTTTTGCAAAAGACTGCCCATTTTTTTAAAAAAAAAGTTAAATTAAATCCAAAAGCAGAAGAAAATAAGCGGTGAAATTAACCTATATTGGATTCCTTGGGATAGTATGTTTAATTTTACTTTGTGGATTGAAGTGCTTGCAACTTTTTTTAAAAAGAGAACAGATCAACTTTTCTTCTTCTATTTTTTTTTTATTTTTTAACCTATGAATTAAAGTTTTCTTTATTTCAACAAGGACTTTTATTATTTGCTATTAATTCCATTTAAGGACTTAGTTTCTTTTAAGTTTGAAATAACATTAGAGAGTGGGAAGCAATACTGCCACTTGGAGGCTGGAGGCTTGTGTTTTTGAAACAATGCACTTTCCCTTTTCCTTTTAGCTCACTGACTTTGTATCTCAAGGCTTGGCAATTTGTTTATAGAAAGTGATAAGAAGCAAGGACACAAATTGTTTTTACAGGTGCACTTTGAGAGTCTTACTGGCAATGGGAGAGAAAAAGAGACAGAACTTTTTTTTTTGAAGATTATAAATGAACTTGTGTTTAAGTTAATTTAATATAACAAGCATTGAAAGCCAGAGTGGCAGTATCTACTAGCTTGTCAAAATGGCACAACATTAAAAAGAAACAATAACTTTGCAAAACATCTTGGCTGGAATTCAAAATTTATTAGAAATAACAGAGAGAATTGAGAAGAAGATGGAAAAAATAGAGTTCATAACAGCAAAAAATGATGAGGTCAGAGTCCCCAAAATTGAAGGGGAAAATGATTATAAAGACAAGACAACTGATTACTTTATCAGTGGAGTGAATGTGGTTGAAAGTGGGAAAA